AATTATTAAATAATAATTCTATATTTTTAATTTTATTTATAATTATAGATTAATAACTACAGATTAATAATAATAATAATTTTTTTTTTTAAATAAAGTTTTTGAAACTATATTAATTTTATTTTGTTATATTAAATAATTATTGTTTTGTTTTTTAATAATATAATTTGTTAATTAATTATTTTAAAATATAAAATAAAATAAAAATATATTATAAATATATTATAAATAATTCTAAAACTTTGTTATTATTATTATTTACTATATAAGCTAATTATAATTTTGATTATAGTATTATAACAATTATTATTTTTTATAAAAATATAATAATGATAAAATTATTTTAATAAATTTATCATAGCTAATTAGGTTTGAAATTATATAAAAACAAAACTCAAAATGTAAAATATAACTTTTATAAAAACTTGTTTTATATAAGATATAATAATAAATATTGGTTATATTAATTATTTAATAACAAAAAACAAAAACAATAATAATATATAATATTTCATATAATATTAAAAATTCAAAAATATAATAAAATATAATAAAAATAAAAATACAAAAATAATAATTTTTTATAAAAGATTTTTATTATATTTAAATATAATGAGTTTGTAATAAATAGTAACAGTTGATGGTTGATACTTTAAATATCGATTTGAAATTTAATTATATAATATAATAGTTTATGGTTTGATAATCTTGATGAAAATTCATGATATAAATTAAAATTATCATGTTATTGAAATTATATATTGTATATACATATACAATATATTAAACTTGTATGTTTTAATAAATTGATAACATATCAAATTGTTGTTTTTTTTAAAAAAAATTTTTTTTGGATATTTTTATACCTATTATTATTTTTTATATCATAAAAATTTTAAAATCAATTTGGGATTTTGTAAAAATCATTAAATTTAAATGACTCAATACATTAAAATTTTATAAAAAAATTGACGAATGGTTGGCAATCAAAGCTCTGATTGGTTAACCTATCTGGGACTATAATGATATTTTCGGTTTTATGGTTTTATACAGTACTATGATCCGTCGATCTTGTGTTCGGAGAAATATTCTTACCGCGCCATCTCCTTATATGTACCAGGAAATCAACAATGAAACTATGTATAGCGTATCAATTTCCATTTGAGTATGGTTGCACAAACAAAATTCAAAATTGTATTGTGATTATAATGCAAAAAGACCCTTGTTAAACAGTGCTATTGTTTTTTATTACAAAAAAAGAAAAAAAACGGAAATAATGGATTTTGACTAATCTGTCGAGAGCCTCGGCAGATAAAAGGATGGTTTTATGATCGCGGGATGGTTAAATGATGCGAAGAGTGAGAATAGGTACAAGGCGCAAGTGCGACCTTTCCAAGGGATAGATGATTATGTTAATGAAATTAAAGTAGGAAACCATGATTACGTGTATCAAACCGTTGTTAAATGCGATACGTACACAATAAACTGTGACACATTGACCCATGCTAAAAAAAGAATGCATTGTCAAAATTTCCAAGGAAATAGTCTTATACATAAACCTTATTAGTAAACGGGCATGCTCATCGTAAAAATATTTCTTTATCAACAATATAGATTGCTACAATATGCCTGGGGAAAGAATACAAGGACCCAATAATTTTATAAATGAGATAAATTATTTGTTTGTTTGATTTTTTTTGAATGAACATTGATTTAGCAGTTGCGATGCGGAGTTTTAAACAGACCAGGGATTAGTTACATACCATTGGTTAACGGGGGACCCGAATTGTATTTATTGGAGGTTCGATGTGTAATAAATTGCGAGCATAATTGATTTTTTTGGAATAAAGCATTAATGTTTTGTTACGCGCTTTAGGAAAATTGAAAGAGACAGAATGAACGAATGATGCGGTCATTTCTTTCCAGAAAATTGGATTGATAACATAAATTAGTATCCATATAAACTAGAATTTGTGAATTATTCATCCCTGTTTATTCCATTACACATGAGGATGCCAACATATTTATTTATCTTCCTTCTTTTACGTTTTTTTTCTACACTCTTATTCACTAAACAAATAAAAATACTCTTAAAAACGCATATTTACATGCAATTTCTCATGCTTAGCTTCATCCCCCAAATTGTGGGAATGTGTCTCCCGTCTCTCCGAAGGTAATCCTAATATGAACTAAAACCTCTAAACTTTTTCCGTGTATTTAAAACTCTAAGTTGATCGAGGAGGTGTGTGATAATTGATTTCTCTAAAAGGATTTCAAAACATTAAAGAGATTAGAATCAATAAAATAGGAAAACCCAAGGTATTACATAAACGAAGCCTCGGTTACGTGTCTCAATCTCATTATCGTACATACTTCAAATATGTATAATTTTAATTACTACATTGATCGAATAGTCTGCACGCGCATTCAAAACATTCAATTGATTCAATTGATTACTTTATTCACATACAAACATCGCATGCTAATACAACACTGCATCGCTATCACCACACTATGCTACACAGCTGTTGGATGTTGCATTCACCTTTTTCTAGAGATCACTTACTTACATACACTGTTGATTGTGCCCCTTAGATGAACGAACACTGACACATGAACCGGTTCTCAACGCTTGAAATTCACACACACAAAGTATAAATTTTAAGAGAAAATGGCAAGGATTAAACAGGTCTTTTTGACCTAACAAGGAGAAATTACAAAAAAGATTAATCGTAATAAAGTTTAAACATGCAGTAAGCAAAATGTTTGACTAACATAACGATTGCCATGTATCATCTAACTACAACCAAGCTCTAAGTGATTGATATATTGTCGGATCTAAAATTAGATTAAAGATTTCGATACTTTCAAACAGGACAAATCAGATATTGTAAAAGGACTCCTTTCTCTGTCGTGGAGACCGTTGTTGTGCATACATGCATATGAAGGTATGGTACATATTCTGTGATGTTTACGGATACCTAAATTTGAACGATTACGCGCAACGATAACGGATATACGTTTTCATGTATAGTAACGTTCGCTCATTTTGCGCACATATGTAGCATGACCGCGAAATATGCATTGAAATGCTGATGTAATCTTTCAAGAAAATTTTTTACATTCTACGAATGTTGGTTCCATTAATGATTGGTATGTTGAAATTCGTTGTCTCTTGGACCCAATATACTCGGTGTTAACGAGCGAGAATTACATATGCGTTATACATGTGCCGTCTGTCATTCCTCCCTCCGTTGAATTTTCTTCTTCGGTTAATTACTTTAACCTCTTTCGGGTTCATTAACATTTCTGTATAAATTGATTTTTTTTAACCAATTTTTTTCACGATCGTTTTTTAAGCAAACGAGAATAAGAATATACCGCATATACGGTATACACATTACTTCTCTAATATCAAAAATAAATAACACTATACAAATAATAAATAGAATGTAATACATTTATTTGATGAGCTACAGTAACCAACTTCAAAACTTAATAAATCCAAATTTGTAATAATTAAATAATAATTCTACGAATTACTATTATAGAATATACTGTGGATCTCATAGTCATTATGCTTAATTAAACTTATTCAAAAAAAAAACAAATCAAAATCACAAATTTATAATATGTATGTATAATTTTATTAAATTTTAACATAAGAAAAAATTTTTAAAAAGAAAAACTGATTACATTTTGTAAAAAAATTTATTAAATTGTCTTATAAAAAAAACCCGAACTAAAATTATTTTAAAAAAAAATCAAAGAAAATAAAAAAATTCTTATGATATTATATGATATAAAATAATTTTATTTATTTATTTATATTTTTAAAAATTATTTGTGAATTGATTTTTTATCTTAAAATATAAAAAAATCATTTCCATAATATATTTTATATTAAATTTAAAATTTAAAAAATAAAACCAATAAAAAATTTTTTAAAAACATTTTAAAATAAACTTGACTATAAATTTTAAAATGCATCATTCATTCATTCAATATAAATTTTAAATATATACCACGATGATTAAATAAATATAATTTAATTGATAATAAGATTGATGTGAATTTTTCAAAATATACGTATATATTTTGTTTTATGAAAAATATGTAATAAATATTTAAATATATGATAAAAGAAATCTATAAATTAAAAATAAAATAAAGATAAATAATATTGGATTAAATAATTAATAGAAATATTCAAAGTATACAATTAGTAAAATTTTTATAATAATAAAAAAAATCTAAAAAAAAATCTAAAGTAACAAATTCAGGCGAGTAAATATTTTCCTGTTACAAATGAGCACTACTAATGAACTCGAAATATTATCTGTAAATAATTAATCGGGGATTCTAAAGGGGTCTTAAATGATCATATCATAACGAAAAAGCCACGTGTCACCAGATATTCCTACTTTTTACACGTCTGATCAGGGAGTCGCGAGAAAAAAGTTTTAGAAAAGACGAGTCATAAATCACGAATAAACTATTATAACACAACTCAAGATTGTTTAGGGTGTAATGAAAAATGGTGTGAAATGAATACTTGTGTGGTCTAGATTAAGATAACTTTAATAATAAATCCTTCAAAAGGGGAAATATAAAGATTTAAATTGAAATTTAATCAAGTACGCTGTATTTCTACAAAATATCATTCGATAATTTATTTAAAATAAACTGGATTTTCGTACTTAGAAATTAGTAAACAAAATTTTTTTTCGCTTCATATAGTAGTGTTGTATATAAATAAACCTTTTAATATAGGTTAAACAATAACCTATATAATAGGTAAGTTTATATTTTTCCACAAATTGACTCATCCTTCTTGACATGCTGACATGAAAGTCGGATTCATTCATCAAAATATTTTTTAATTTATCTTACGAACTTGTACTAAAGGGAAAAGGCGACGCAGTAACACATTACGCAAATAACGATACTATAGTGATGCATGCTAAAGTGCTTTAAAGAGTCAAAGATTGAAACGACTTTCAGTTACGGCCATACACAGTGAAAAGCACCGGAACCCGTCCGATCTCCGAAGTTAAGCCACTGATGGCCCAGTCAGTACTATGGTTGGGGACAACATGGGAATACTGGGTGCCGTAACTTTTTGCTTTTTTTTTTTTTGAAAAAATTTTTACGATACATGTGAAGATCTTTCAGTAGCCAACTGCAATGCCTGCAATGTCACAGATTTTGAAACCGTCCAATTAAAGCTTATATTAAATAAGATAATATATATTAATAATTCTATAATACAATATCAATTTTATTAAGTTTTACTACATGAATAAAATCAATTGATAATTTGAAAAACTCTTTATTAGTTATAATTGAAAAAATATTATTTATTAAATTTAGTAATGATTTTTATAAATAGCCAAATTTTATACAATTTTTTTTTATATTATAATTTGTTTATTTATTTATTTAAATTTTATAGATTTGTTGTGACATTATAATTATTAATTTAAAAACAATATATATACATATATAATTGAATTATAAAATATATTTATAATATTTAAAATTTAAAAAAAAATATCAAAACTATTTATTAATTAAATAAAGTAATAATTTTAGAAAGATAACTTGAAAAATTATATATAATATAAAATTAATATCTTTTTTAATTTTTGAAATATTTTCTTGAAAAAAATTTTAAATAATAAAAAGTAAATATGCATATTAACAATGATAAAAAGTTTTAAATTTTGTTTAAAAATTTTAAAATATATATTTTCAATAAATAGATAAATAAAGGTTTTTGAAAAGTTTTTATTTTTTATTTTATATATATTCATATTGTTTTTTTGTTTTTTTTTTTATAGTTTTTATTAAAAAAAAAGTTAAAATAATTCAAATTTATAATATTTAAAAAATAAACAATTTTTGATTTTATTAATAAATAATAAATAAACAATTTTATTTCTTCAATAATCATATCTAGAGGCTTCATACTAGGATTCCTAATGATACTATTTCAATATCAAGACACTACTGAATTTATTATAAGTTTAATATAGTGCATCACAACTCATATATTAAATTTATCAGTATCATTTTAGTACCATTTTGA